GAGGTGACCTTTCCCTCAAAGCTGTCCTCCATCCCCTCACTGGAAAGGCATGCACCACAGCCAGGGATGCAGTGCCTGCTTGCTGGCTGTGCTTACATGTGAGCTGCGAGCCTCACTGCTCTGCATCTGCAGCTGAACGCTGTGTGTGGTGCTGCTCTGTGCTAGCTGGGCAGGGCTGCCTGGGGACAAATGGAAACAACCTTTGAGGTAATGTTGGAAACATCTCTGAGATGAGCATGGGATGCCAGGTCAGAAATAGGTGTGACAGCAGAGCGATAAGCTGGGATTGTGCCCCAGTGAGGGGCAGTGCTGAGTGTGTGTGGAGTTGCTTTGGCTGGCAGGAGAGGTGCCCATGCATATGGGGTCTGAATGTGCACCTCGCCTGGGATTTTGCTGTGGGCAGTGAGCAGTGTGTGCTTTTGCTTGATCTGAACATACAAGATTGATGCAGGTCTTAATGAAACAGCAAAACGTGAGCCCAACTCCTGAACTTGATTTTTGATGTTTTCCTGCTGTTTCAATACCAAATTTACCCCAGACCTCAGAGGAGAGGCAGAAGCACCTCTGAGCCCTGCAGCCAATACAGTTCTGTCCCAGTGCCTTTCCCAGTGGTTTTCTTGAGGCTTTGGCAGGAGAAGCAGCTGCAGGGCTGGTTTGTTTTCTTTCACCAGAGGAAAGGTGGTGAAGATTAGGAAGCATGTTTTGTCATCAGGCTGGATCTCTGGCTCTGCAGTCAGTCAGACATATGGCAGAAATTATCAGAGGAAGATGGAGATTACCAATGGATTATGAATGATTCGTGGCCCTGTGCAGAGCTGCTGCATCTGTGCCATCAGAGGTCTGGGGTCAGGAGTCCAGCACTTGCAGGCCCTTCCCTCCCAGCTGCTGCAGGAGCCGGCCTGGGCCCTGTTCCCTTCCACCTGGTGGCAGCTGTGTCCCCAGCTCCCCTCAAACCCAGCTGATTTTCAGCTCCTTGTCCTGTCCTCCTGGCAGAGAGCTGGGTGGGGGCTGCCCATACGCAGAGCATTTCCTAGTCCCTCGTGTCTCTGCCTCTGTCTGACTATGAAATGGCTCAGGATGCTCTTATTATCACCATGCCAGTGGTGACCTGCAGGTGTCAGGAAGTGCCCACTGCACGTTCAGCACTGCGCAGAAAGCAATTGGAAAAGACAACTTCACAGCGATCCCAGAGGGGACCAATGGCATCGAGGAACGGATGTCTGTCATCTGGGACAAAGCAGTGGTAAGAGCCAGCCCAGCAGCGAGTGGGCAGACTTGACGGGCAGCACTGTGTCCTTGCCCCAGCAGGGCTGAGTGCCCAGTGGCACGTCTGCTTTCTGCTTGTGAGCTGAACCAAGCTGGAGCAGGAGAAACGGCTGCCACAGGGCGAATAGCCATGATATGTGAGCATAGCTCCAGCTTTTGGTCTGTCTAATGCCAGACCTGGGCTTTTCCTCTTCCCTTCCCCAAAAGGGTGCTTTGTTCTCTCTGTGTCTGAGCAGGCCACAGGAAAGATGGATGAAAACCAGTTTGTGGCAGTGACGAGCACTAATGCTGCAAAAATCTTCAACCTGTACCCACGGAAAGGGAGAATAGCTGTGGGCTCAGACAGTGATCTGGTCATTTGGGATCCTGATGCAGTGAAGATCGTCACGGCAAAAACCCACCAGTCTGTAAGCCCTCTGCTCAAGCTGGGAATGGGTGTGGGAAGTGCTACACACAGTGATCTTGCTGCAAGGAGCTTGGTGCTGCCCTGCTGGTAGATGCAGGCTCTGGGCAATGCAGGTGTGACTGCAGGATAGGATGCCTTTGAGCCTTGGGCTCTGCTTGCAGCATGTTTCTCACCGAGCTGCCTTGCACTCTCCTTATGCCAAGCCTGCAATGGGCTTTTCTCCTCCTCTGAGTCCAAATTTTTCCCAGCTAAGCTGGGTTCTTGGTGTGATGGACTGGTGAAGGGCAGGAGGCCTTTGAGGCAGCAAGGCTATACAGGTGTGCTCTCTCTGCCCTGGAGGCTTTGTCAGTGAGGTGAGGGGACTGAGCAGCCCTCACTGGGCAGACAGTGCTTGTGTTTCTCCTGACTGTCACCCCTGGTTGCTGCAGGCAGCTGAATACAACATCTTTGAAGGGATGGAGCTGCGTGGGGCCCCACTGGTTGTCATATGCCAGGGAAAGATCATGCTGGAGGATGGCAACCTGCACGTGACCCAGGGGACTGGGCGCTTCCTGCCCTGCAGCCCTTTCCCTGACTATGTCTACAAGCGGATCAAAGCCAGGAGAAAGGTAAGGAGATGGGGATGCCGGCAGAAAGAGCTGTGAAGCTGTTAACCCAAATTGCCCCTTTCCCAGCTAGCTGATTGTTTGCCCTCCAGTGTATCTGATAAGATGGAAAAAGTGCTGTAAACCTGCATGTGCTGAACCTACTGGGGATTGCTGAGTGCTGGGCAGAGCTGTGACCTCTGTGCTGGTGGTGTGCTATAGTGAGGGGAAGGACATGGGGCTGAGTCAGCAGTGGGTGCTGCAGGTCCACCTGCTCCCTTGTTGCCTTCCTGCTACAGCAGGAACCTGCAGGGAAAAGTTGAGTTAAAAACAAGGAGACTGAGCAAAAAGGGCCTTCATCTGCACAAAATAAACCTGTGTCAGGGGGTGCCTGTTGCATAGTCCCTCAGCACGCAGTGGGAGGCTGTTGTGCAGGAGGTGGGGCTGAGACCTCCATGCTTCAGAGAGGTCTCGGGCATGCAGGACAGGTGAGCACGGGGTTGGCAGTGTGAGTGGCCTCTGCAGTGGGACCAGGGAGCCTGGAATCCATGTGCCAGGATGCTGGCGGCATTGGTGGGCTCATAGGCGTTGCGGAAGCATTGCAGTGTCACTGTGCCATTCCTCTCTGGTAACAGATGGCGGAGATGCATGCTGTGCCCCGGGGCATGTATGATGGACCTGTGTTTGACCTGACTGCCACCCCCAAGGGTGGCACCCCTGTGGGATCCACCCGGGGGTCCCCCACACGGCAGACACCCCCTGTGAGGAACCTCCACCAGTCGGGGTTCAGCCTGTCAGGTAAGCATGGCACTGGCAGACAATGGTGCCTTGGGCCAGGGGGCTGGGCTGCAGCCATAGTGCAGCACTGGACTTCTGCTTGTGCTGTGTGGGTCCACACGTGGAGGACCATCTGCTCTGGGAGTGGCCACTTCTCTCCTTGGGGTCCTTGCTCAGTCAGAGGCAGAGAGGTTGCCATTGGTGGCCCAGAGCCTTTCAGCAAGACCCCAGCCTTCCCGGTGGCTGAGTGGGAAAAATCCTCTTGGTGTCACTTTCCCTTTCCCTCCGTGCTCCAGGTACCCAGATTGATGAAGGCATTCGTTCTGCCAGCAAGCGCATTGTGGCACCGCCGGGAGGCCGCTCCAACATAACCTCCCTCAGCTAAAGCACCACACAGAGAGGGCAGTGATCCCTGTGCAAGCAAAGGAAGAAAAAGGGGTGCATTGGTGTTTAAGAAGGAAAAGCAAATAAACCTGTTCTGAAGAATCAGTAAGCCTCAAGCCTTACTTTTCACAAAAGCTACTTGCTACCTAGCTTTAAAGATGTTGCTTCATTTTATTTTATGCATAGCCTTAAAATTCTGTTGTTGTTGTTGTGGGTTGGGTGGGTTGTGTTTCTCCTCTTCCTTTTGTATGCATGCCGCTCAGACAGGTCACTTGGTTCAGGTCGTTGTTGGTGTTGAATGCTTGTGGGCAGGTGGGGGTGCAGTGTGAGCCCGGGCAGCACCGTGTTCCTTTGTCTTGGCTCTCAGCAGTGTTTCACCACGATGCCCATTAAGGAGCCCAGAACATCTCTGTAACAGCTGTCACAGCACCTCATGTAAGGAAATTTACGACTTTGTACACTTTATTAAAAAAGAAAGGAAAAAAAAAAAACAACTGTTCCTCAAATAACTTGTTGTCATGGCTGCTTTTTTCCACTCTGAGCTGTGGCTGCCTGCCTGGCCCTGGGGACAGCAGGGGCAGAGAGGCTGTGTCCCACGGGCAGGATGTGTGCAGGGCTCCTGGAGCAACTTGAGGCTGTTTGAGCCGAGGGAGATGTACAGCCAAAGGGAGTCTGTGTGCAGCACTGGGGGACCAGTATGGATGCTGGGACAGTGTTGCTTCTTGGGCAAAAGCAAAAGCATTAACAAAACAGCTTGGAGCTGGTGCTAGTGAGACTGCTCGCGTTGGCCATGCTGTCTCTGGCCGCTGCCTGTTGTGGCCGTTGTGGGCTGTGCCTGTCAGCTGTGTGGTGACGTGGCCCAGGCCTTCCCAGCTGGGGCTGATTTTGAGGTTGTGGACACCTGTGAGTTAATTGCTCTCCCTGTGTCAGGTGGTGTCCAACTGTGGGTCACTGCCTTCTCCAGGTTGCAAAGCATCCAAAAAAATTAGATTGTTTTTTACATATTAGAAAAAATTGAGTGTCAATCTAAGCAGTGCTAAATAAATCCTTTTTTTTTTTTTTTTTCCTGAAGTATTTGACCCTGAAATATTTATTTTTGCATGCCTGTAGCTCAGACAGGATGAGTCGTCTGTGCAGCAGTCCTCAAAGGGGCTGAGCCAGAATAGTTGTGCCGGGGTCGGGATAACTGCTCATACTTGGAAGTTTTGTGAACTTCTGCTATGAAGTAATTAGAAATTTTTTGCTGCTGCCTGTTAGTGATTAAGCTGAGACTGTGCCTCAGAGATTGTTTTAGAGATCTTTTGGAGAATTTTTAAAGGTGCAGCGTTCTCATACAACTTCTTCAGGGTTTTGGGTTTTTTTGTGTGTGTGTCAGCTATTACAACAGCACTGATCTTTGTCCTAGCCAGGAGCAGGGCCAGTTCCCTTGTCTGGGTTTATGATGTGTGAACCTCTCCTAGGTGGCTGTAGCCCAGTGCTTTGTAGGTGACAGGTATGGCTGTTGTCACAGCCTGGCTTTACTCAGCCTTCCCAGACCTATTCTGCCTTGCACTGCAAGTGACTTCAGAAGAAATAGTGGCTTTTGGTTACCTGGGAAGGAGTCTTTCATTTGCTGTCTGTTTTATTTGGATTTTTTTTAATTAATCAGATTCAGCCAGAGGAGAGAGACAGGAAGGCACAGGGGATACAAGAACCCTTGGGCAAATGGGAGACAGACAGTTCATCACATGTTTATTATATTGCTGAGATAAGGAAAAATGTCAAATAAAGAGGTGAAAGGTTTGGTCTGCAAAAACATTTGAATTATAGCATAATACCTAGCATTTACCATAATAGAGATGCTTTGGTCAATCTCACTCTTGGCAAAGCCTGCACCAGGAGCACAGCTGTTGCTGCTTAAATCAAGTGTGAAGACAACAGCAGAGAGATGAAAAGTACGCATTCAAATTTACCTCTGATGTTGGAAGCCACGACCCGTCAGACTCAGAAATTTGCAGCAGTTTAACATGTTTGTGAATGGCTTTTCAGGATGGCCTGGAAAAGCTCTGGGATGCTGCTCATGGGCTGTCACTGTATCACTTCCCTGTCCAGCTGTGTGCCTGCCTGGCTCTGCACCAGGTGGCTCTGCAAGCAGTGAGGAGTGGAAGCATGAATGGAACCTCACTGCCCTTGCCCAGCTGGGGAAGAAGCTTGCTGCCAGCACCAGCCCTTCTGAGGATGTTTGCAGATCTCTGCAAGTTGAGGCTACTGCTGCGTGCCACTGAAGGCGCCACAAGTCAGAGCAGTGTTTTCCACCTGGAAAAATCAGCTCCATGTAGGGACCATGCAGGAATCCTGGCCCAAAGAGCCAGGGCTCACAGCTGCAGATCCCACCATGACAAGGGCTGGTGGTGATGTTCTGCGGGTGGGTGCCTGGTACTCACTAGGCTGTGATACCAACCAGCCAACCCCAGTGGAAGAGTGCTGAGCAGCTCACCCTTCTCACGCAGTCACATTGCTGCTGTCATGGAAGGCAAAATCATGGGCTGCTTCTAGTGAATGGTGGCAAGCTACAGGGGCAGTCCCAGAGCTTCCTGCTGCCAGGGCTGTGGTTCTCAGAGGTTGTTGTTCTGGCTGTCCTTGTGCATGCCTCTGCACTTGGCCAGCGCTGCTTGCTGCTGGATCTCGTTGTGCTGGTGTCTCACCCTAGGGCAGAGCAGGAGGCAGAGCTGTTGGTGGGCCTGGGGATGCCTGCAGGCTGCCCATTCACACTGCCTGCCCCAGACCAGCTTCTCTAGGCACCTCCTTGCTGCTGGGGCAGCTGGCCCCAGAGACCTGGCCACGGCAGGGTTGTTATGGACAGGATGCCAGCCCGGCCTCAAACCAGCATTAGCAACGTCACTGCCCATCCCTGTTCACTGGCCAAAAGCTTTTACTCTGCAACAGGATTTGGTACGCTGCCTTTTTATCAGTACTTACTTTTCTCTGTTGAAAACAATGAAGTCCCTCTGGAGTGTCTCTAGATGCTTTTGAAGATGGCAGGCCTTTCACATTTGAATAGAAAAAGATGAAGAAAAATTGAATAAATTCACAGTTGGCACAAAAAGATGTTGCAAGGGCATTTTCAAGGAGATACAGCAATATCTTTAGCTCCAAAGCAACACCAGCACTGCAGTTGGGAGAATGGCATTACAACTCTCCTCACATAGAACTCAGTAGGTATACAGGCTTCAAATTATATGTTGGGTTTCCACAGGCATTTTTCTATTGCAGAAAAAGCTCAGAGTTCAGAAGCATAAAACTGCTCATGCAGCAAAGCCTTCCAGGGCTCAGGTGTACCCTAAGAGCTCCTGCACCGTGCAGGAGGGAGGCAACAGCTCAGGACCTGTATCATGCTATTTCTTGTGGAAGGTCTACATGAAAGAAGCCATTCAGGCTCAGGTCGCTTGTGTTAACTGCATAGCTGTATGCCCAAACAAATGTATGACTCTTGTCTCAACACTGCAATTTATCCAGACTCTTGCCATTGCGATGGAAAACAAGTGTTTGGCTCCAGTGCCAATGGAGGAGGCTGCAGGCTGGGAGTGCATGAGAAAGCCAAACCCTACGCAGGGCCAAGCCCTGAGAGCCCAATCCATCTTTAAGTTCTGAAGATGTTCAACAGCACATCTGACCTTTAAATTACTTTATTACAGAAATGTTCAATAGTGAACAATTATGGGGCATGAAAAATAATGAAGCTTTATGAAAGCCAAAGCGCTCCTTATGATCTACAGAGGAAATTCTGGCACTGTTGAAGCCAGTAGGAATTTTGACAAATATTCATGTGTAGGACAGTATCTCAAACTCAGGACCTGGCTAAGCTTGCCCTCTGATACCAGCTTGCATGTTCAAAGCACAGACTCTTCTTAGCTTACTGTTGGCCCTGGAAATGTTCTCTGGTTTTGCAGCACCTGAGACAGAATGAAAGAAAGAGTTCCTACCCAAAAAGGCTCTCCAGCATCATGAAACTTGCACAATGCTTCTGGAGTGTTTTGCATCTTAGAAACTCTTAATGCAATATTCACATGTTACCATTCCCTCTTTCTAGAGGATGTTTCAGAGGAAATAAAATAGAAAGGTTTCTGCTAATACAAAACAGTAACAGCCTAACTGGAGGTTTGGAAAAGCAATAGTGTGTGTTGGTTGATGCACTGTGAGGGGTGCAGCTGGGTGAGGGATGGGGGGATCTCTTGGGAATAAAGCTGGTCAGAAGGAAAAGAGACAGTCTGTCAAACAGGTTGCTGCAGTACTGCTAAGTGATAGTTGGCTTTCACACAGAATGAAAGCCTTCCTTCACCACACGCATGCACCTGCTTGCTCTTACCTGTGAGGAATTGCTTTTGTTGATGTCTTTCTCCTTCTTAGCCAGGCGCTTCTTCTTCTTGTGAAGAGGTTTGGACTCCAGGATCATCTCTTCAAGTTCAAAGGTTGGGTCACAGTTCAGTCTTCCTTTCTGGAGGGGAGAGAAAGGTTGCCTTAAGTGAGCAGTGCTGGTCATTAATTGGGCAGGTCTGGGATCTGGGTTTTGTAAAAAATGAACTAATTAGAACTGCACACATAGCTGGAACAGCTGCTGCACATCCGACATATTTCAGCACTTCCCTCAGCTGGGGGAGCGCTGTCAAGGTGTGTTTGCTCCCTTTACACTTACTACTTACATTTAACCCATTGGTTGCTTCAAAGTGACAGCCTCTGTTGAGGCCGTGCAGAATCCTGCATGATGAGTTTTGAAGCAATACACATACATCCACCACAGAAAGCCACTGACAGAGGGGAAATACGTGCAGTTAAATATTCATTCAGTTTAGCTCACCATTTGTTTGGTTGCAAGTGAAAAACGGCTGGAGCATCACTGCACAGAGCAGTCCTTGGATTATTTTCAAAGAGAGTTACGTTACCTCTGTGCTGCTTTAATTTGATTAAAAAAGAATCAGAAACCTGAATCTACCGTATTTGTTCTTTTCCTGTGAACAATGGATTTGTTAGGGAGAGTCACTTCAGGAAGAAACAGTTCTGTAATGGACAGTGATCTCCAGGCTGCTAACGAACCCTCTGCTCATTATTTTTTGCATTAGGAGTGCTGGTCCTAAACAGGGCTGCTAAAGAAGGTGGTTCATTGGAGGATGGCTCAAAACCAACAGCATCCTGTATTTTATCTGCAGTGCCAATGGTGCTCATGCCCTTAAGTCCAAGTGTGCGCACAGAAACTTTGAGATTATTATGAACAGAGTGGATCACCTTTGGGGCGCCCATTCCTTGCAGTCACCACCCATTAACCCTCATCAGACTCACCAGAAAGTGAAAATCGTGCTCTTGCCTGTCCTCCCCTGTGCTAAGGGCACCTACTGTTTTTATGGGAATGGTGAGATGTTCCCACTCTGATTTGGTTGAAGGGACAAGGACAGGATGCAGGCTGTGACGGGGACTGGGCACCTTAAGGACCTTTCAAACTTAACACTGCTCACCGTAGGAATGAATTCTGGCATTATCCTCTTCTGGAGAACAGCATTCCAGTTTACATCTGACAGATAGGGAAAGTCCTGGATATCTTTCAGCTGAGAAAAACGCTTGTCAGGATTTGTCTCGAGCAACTGTAGCAAGAGTGAAAGGAAAGAGGTTAGAATGAAAATGGTGTGCCTGCTCACTCTCCCACAGTCCTGCCCTCCCATCCTGACCACATGAAATTGCATAAATTTCATGGCATTGAGGGATTTCAATATTATCAGCATTTTTTTGCAAATCTTTTCATTATTGGAAAAAATCATAAAACGTTTATGCAAGTTTTTAGTCAAATTTGTGGACATGTGTATCAGAACTTCTAAGTTACATCACTCCAGAGAGACGAAGTTGTAGGAGAAACCCTGGAAGTGAACGCTGTGTCCTCAGCAGAGATCCATCCTGGGCTGCCAACATGAGCACCATCACCATCAGCCCAGAGAGCAGTGCCGTTGGCTGATGGCGACATTAACGAGCTCTGTCATTAAAAGCTGGCTGTTTGACATACAGCACTACCTGAAGGTCACCAGCACTGAGTCTGGATACAGTTTTCAGTGAATCTCCACCATTTCCCTCAAGAAATGTCAGTGGGGCGCAGTGGAAGTGGATCCCAGCCCCAACGTGCTCCAATGCCACAGCAGCCCTCACCTTTTTGATCAGCATCACCATTTCCTCAGACCAAGCAGCAGGGTACATCACTGTAGCAGTCTTAAATACGTGAGCAATTTCATGTGTGGAAGTGTTGGAGCGAATATGATACGGCCTCTGTGAAAAGTGCAACAAGGAAAGCATTTTAGTGTATCTTTTCAGCTCCTTCAGAAATCTTTTCAGAGCAAGGCGGCTCCAAACAAAATCTCTAAGCACATTCCCCAACCCCCCCACTGAAATCTCTGCCTGTCAGGTCTTGAGCTCATCTGAAATAAGCACAGTAATAATGCCAGAGGACAGCAATAATGGCTGGATGACAGATAGGAGCCATCAGTCAGTGTCCAGCTTTGTCTTCCTCAGCCTCGCCAGCGTTCCCAATGTTTCTGTAAGATGCCTCTGTGTTTTCAGTTCTTTGCTCATATTGGCTGTGACAGAAGGGAAATGGAGCGGGATTTTTCACGCCTCATGGAAAAGCGCCGTTCCAGCAAAGGCTGAGAGCCGCCGGTCCGGCACTGCAGGACGCTCTGCATGCGTGGCTGCACAGCAGTCGGGCACCCGACCCTGAGCTGCCAGGCTGCATGCGGGGAAATGGCCACCTCTCAGCCTCTGCATGGAGCAACCGCACTGCTGTGCTTGGATACTGCGTGCAATGGAAGAGTGCTGCTGGGAAGCATCTTTAACTCCCGGATTTCTACAGTGTGTGCATGGGGAGCTGCTACAAGTGCATTTAAACAACACGGACACGATGTCAGATGCAACTGCGTGCATGGTGCCACCGCACACAGACACCGAAGGCACCTCGAGGTCCGCCCAGTGCCACTGCTGTCAGAGCTGCCACTGCTCACCACTGTGCCGCGACCCCCCGAGTCCCTCACTATGTATCCACTGCTACCACCAAGTCAAAAATCCAATGCCATGGGCAGTCCTGCGATTAATTTAAATTTACAAATAGAAAACTCAGATTTATATTAATATTTTTACAGTTACCCATCAGTTCAGACTGACATCCCCTTAATGTGCGCTGTCAAGATTGCTCACCCTCTGTTTTTTACATTTTTGTGAAAAATACTTTTAGGCTCCCTGCAAAAATTGGCTGCAGCATTTTTTAAAGGTGTTTTGCCCTCCTTTACCAAACGTAGCCTTCAGCCTCTCAAGGTTTTCAATCGCCTTTAGCTTATAAGAATGTCATTCAAAAAATGGTATCCCACTTTTTACACAGCGCTTCCAAAGCACTGCTCTGATCAACTGCCTGCAAGTAAGGTCACCTGAGAAGCCCTCAGACAGAGCAAGGAGCTGCTGCGATGTGCTCTTCTGAATGGCAATGTGATCATAGCTGTGATCACAAAAGCTCTGATGAAGATTTGATTTCTGCTGCCCATGCTGTAAAAAACCTTAGGGCCTAAAATCTGTCTCAGAACTTTCCTCCCTGTTACAAAGCATCAGCCCCTCCAACAGCATGCTTAAGGAAAGAGAGGGACAGAGGCATCAGCGCTGTGTGCTCCGTACCCGGGCCCTGAGCAGCTCATAAGCAGTGATTCCAAGTGACCACCAGTCCACAGCAAAGGAATAGCCGATGGGTTTTGTAGAGTTAAACATCTCAGGTGCTGTGAAATACAGAAAAGAGATCATTCACATTGTTGCAATCCTGAGTTAAAAGCAGCAGTACAGAATGCTTGATGCAGTGACACAGAAAGCATCCCAGGGCACAAATCAGCAGATCACCTTGTAGCAGAAATGATGAGTTATGGGCTGAAGCAGTGATTGGGCACCTGGTGGGAAGGCAGGGCCAACCCAGGGGAGCTCAGCTATATGCAAGGTACTTGATGGAAGGGTTGGAGTCAGGATCCACCTCTTCCCAGCCCAGAGGTGAGGGTGTTTCTCTGGAGTTCCCTGCAAACCTGAGGTCTTCTAAAGGTAAGCAGCATTTTGTGTGTGTGTGTGTTGCATTTGGGCTTGTCCTCGTTTGCTGTAGTCAAAGACTTAGCTACTCTGCTATCAGTGCTCTCCATTGCGTTATAGCATTACACACCCATTTCTGCTTTTACTTTGGAACAAGGGTACATGGCTGGTCTATTGGCCCCTTACTAAGGGGTGCAGGGTGCTACACGAGCTTGAAGCATGGGCTTGCTTGCACCATTTCATTTTTCAGTCTTTGTTAGGTCACACAGTAGCTGTCTCAGAGCAGCCACCAATGTGATGTGAATGTCTATATGAGAAATATAATCCAAATTATTTGCATTACAGAATGCTTTATGTAACTCCCCAAACCATGTAGAGGCTCTCCAGGCTCACTTTCCCATATCACATAAAGCACCCAAAGTTCTGAGTTCTGGTGTGTTCAGGCAAGGAGAGGCACAATTTAACTGAGCAGAGTCTGAGAGCCACAACCTTTCAGGGCAGGTCAGCGATACGGAGTGGGCAGGGGCTGGAAGGCTCCTCCTCAGCCAATACATTTCCCTTCTAAGATGAAGGGAATAAAATACTGTAGTTATTTTCCTACAAGATGGGTAGGAAGAACTGCTCTGAATAAAATAAAACCAAACCCAAAGAGCAGCATTTTCCTTTTGTGCATTTGCTCCTCTTTACAGTGATTGCGCCAGGTGGTGTTGAGGTGGTCCTGATGAGAAGGAGCCTCCTTGTCCCCCTCCCCAGGGCCTGATGTCTGCAGAAGCTTTGGGAAGGGATTTGTGGGAGACTGCACTGGTTTGTGAGAGTTTTGTTTTTAGTGTTAGCTGTATAGAAAGACTTCTGGGTGCTTTTGCTTCACTCAGAAGTGTCACACTCCTGCTTTCTTAAATGCAAAGGCTTCTCTGTGTGACGTTTCCACCTGAGCTCCATTAGCATTCACCTGGCTTCTCTGTGGTTCATTTCCTGCATACTCCAGCCCTGATTTCTCCCACGTACATCAGTGGTATTCTGCTCTATCAGCTGTGCTTGTGTGATGAGGAACTGGAGTGATGTTTTACCATGGTTATCGATTCAGGTCTGTAAGATGGCAATTCAGGAGCACAGTGTTCATTGGCTCTTACCCATATACGGCTTTGTGCCAGCGATTGTGGTGACTTGAGTTTCTTTAGTCAGCATTGTGGCAATGTTGAAGTCGGTGATGTGCACGTGTCCTGGAAGGCAGAGATTGAAGTGTAAACAGATGTGCTTTAATTTCACAAAGAAATAACTTTCCATCAGAAGGTTATCAAAGTAAAGTATCCAATGGAAAGTAGTTTCCATGTGGAAATTTCTCATGCCAGAACTGATAGAAAGCATTTAGCATATAGGCTGCTTATAACTGTATCTTGTTAGAGGAAATAACCCTTATTTATCCTCTGGGAGTGAAATATCGGTGTTTTCATAGTTGTCACTGTGCACTATTTTCTGTCTTTGAATGTGCCTTGTGAGGTTTGTGAGCTCGTTTCAGTGGTGTTTGTTTTATCAAGGATTTCTTGGTGCTTTTGAGCATGGTTTCTGCTCAATGTGCTGCAATGTGTGCAACTATTGCCTGCAAACTGAGAAGGAAATGTGAAGATGAATGTGATAAGTAGGGATGAGAATAGAAGCACCTCCACGGGGCTTGTGGCTGATTGGTTACTTTTTCTTTTTTGACAAGTACTTAATTTATTACTCCTTATTCCTTGAGCTATCAGTGAGCAAACCCATGGAGTACAGCAGTGCAGGTAATCAATACGGGGCCGACTTCCCTGAAGTGAACTTCTTTGAACCTTAGAGGTTAACCTGGCCTAATTCTTCTGATTAAATGCTGGCTTCTTCCTGGTCTCGTGCATTTTCTTGTAAGGCAATGAACTACTTAATCTCTGACAGTGTTGGACTCATAATTAAATCCAGGGAACGCTGTGATGTTGTTTTGCAGACACTGCCACAGGGGGTGGCTGAATTGCTGTTGTTTTCTTAACCACAGAGATCAAATGGAAGTGGTTTTTACTGATGGAGGTACTGGGACAATATTCACTCGTGAATTTCAGCAGCTGGAAATTCATTGCTGCTTTACTTCATGAGTTAAAGTAGAATGTGATTGTCCTTATGGCTAAAAATCTGTACTTTGGCAGTGAACATATGCTGTCCTCTCTGGATGCCATAAAATATTGAAGCCAATCCTTACATTTGCACAGAAATACATTATGTATGAGCAGTGACCAAATTTGCCTGCTGCAAATATCTGATCTAGCTGGAGAAAACAAGGGAACAGAAGTACAGTTTGTTATTAGCTAAAAAATCCTGCATCACATCCCTGTTCTGCACGCAGCTTTCCAACAACACTGCATAGAGTGCAGGAGCTCTCTCTTCCCTGCCCTGAATCAGCCATGGTCAGAGCACAGCATGGGTGTGCAGGGCAGGCGGGCAGCCCACAGTACCATTGGTCTGGGATCATTCCTCAGCCACTGAACTTCCAGCCCCATATCAGCATCTGGAAAAGACAAACTCATCCTCTGGCCCCCTCCCATGAGTGGTTGTCTGGTGTTTCAGCGGCTTCGTTTTCAGTCAGATTCAGCAGAAGGTGCGCACTGCTCACAGGACAGCCTGTCTGCCAGTTGTCCAGTTCATTGGGTCAGACCTTTCTTCACTGCGTGCTCTGTGGGCTGTTAGTTCCACTGAGACACAAAACAGCTCCTTAACAGAGCTGTGGTGCTTCCAGGCTCCATTCTGAAGGAAGAAATGCAGAGGTCTTTCTGTGAGCCATGTGAACTGCTGGAAGACCCTGGGTGAGAGGCAAAGAATCTCTCGCATGCTGCAAGTTTGGAGCACGTCCCTCCTTGCTGCTGTCAGTGCTGTACAACATCAGTCAGGTCCTTGCTTCCTCCCTTCCTGTGAAGGAGTTGTGATCAGATCGCTGGGGAGTGCTTGGAAGGAAAGGATGATACAGGATTTTCTTGTCTTGAGATGTCCTCTACGTCCTTGTATTCTTTTCTTTTATCTCTCATTCCACTGTGTGGGGAGGTGTTTTGATAAATGTAAATCAGAGATTTAGTAAGAATTTGCTATTCCAAGCACAAATGTGCCCTTCTCTGGATGCATCCTTTCAGTGATTCACTTCAAACAAACCACAAGTTTTTAAATGTTCCCACTTGGGAGCACATCAAACAATGGCATAGACAACAGGAAGGAGCTCTGTGCAGTGGGACTTCATGGAATGTAGTTGTGTTGAACTGCAGCTGTACAGGGCAGAGTGGTCAGGTTGAGCAGACATAGCTGTTGGTGGACAGGAGGAGAGCACTGTGTGCTGCTGCGGAGTTTTCAAGTCAGACTCCAAGGCCTGTGTTCTCCTGATAGTTCAGCATCTCTAATTGCAGCTGGTGTCTGAGCAGCACAGCCAGAGCTGCACTCTGAGCACGTGTCCTTCCCCACATCTCCTCGTCTGCTGGGAAGTGGCACTTCCAAATCAAATCTTGGGTTCTGAGAGTGCAGCGCTCCCCTGTGAGTATTGCATGCAGAGCGGAGAAGGACTTTGTGCTCTGTGGTGAGCAAAGAATTTTGCTGTTAAATGCAGCACTTCTGTTACTACATAATCCCTTTACCTTTCCAGAACACCTCTGAAGGAGGAAGGAAGAGAAAAACAAAGGCTTCTCTCAATTCAGCTAAGATTGTTTTAAAGAATATTAAGCACATCAGGTATGTTGGTAACAATTTGCAGCAGGTGATACATGTCAGTGCATAGTATCACGAGGCAGTGCACCATCAGCAATCTGAACCAGACTCCTCCACACAGCCAGAGATGTGCCAGGGCTCCTCTGACCTGCCAGGCATTGGCACCAAAGCTGCACTGAGCTTTGCAACAGGCAAAACTGCATTTCTGTGCTGAACTACAGGAGGGTGATGGGTGACAACAGAAGGTGGCACATTACTGCTGAAGGGCTGAGCTGGGAGCATGGGGATAATGGGGGCAAAAGGCTGCAGCTGGACTGCTGAAGGTTTCTAGGTGCCTCATGTTTGGAGAGACCTGATCTCAGTGAAGAACCATGGTTAGTAAACAGCGTGCATTTTTTGATAACAGCACAGAATGCCTGGTGAAGGAGGAGGGAGAATGAGGTTCTTCAGCTTTGTTCCATAAGTAAGAACAAGCAGAATCTGTGAGGCTAGATGGAGATAAATGTGCCCTAATAATATATACACAGGGGACAGAAAAATCTGTTTCCCCTTACAGTTTTCTATATGCACAAGAGGATGCATTTTTAGCTGAAGATGCAAGAGGAAAAGAAATAGAAGCATGGCCATAAGGACACTGAAGCCAAGGGCACGATCACCAGAAATAACTCTGAAACCTCTACAGCAGACACTTAAAACACCACAGTGATAGAGAACAGGCTCAAAAATCATCCCAAATTGCAGTCATAATGGAGGTCTGCAGGTGATCTGTAATGGAAGCCTGTAGGTGCCACTCTGCGGAGCTGCAGAGTCGCACAGTGCCTTCCTGCCCTGCCTTCCTCTATACAAGGATGCTGACCTACATTCCTGTGGTCCTGCAGTGCCTGGAGTCACAGCGCTGCTCGGAGAGTAGCCCTGGGCATCTGGCCCTGTGTGGGCACTGCGTGGCTGGGCAGTGCTGGTCCCCTGTTTGCTGTGCTGCAGTTCCTCCATAAATAAACTGGTGCTTTGAAAGCGGAGGCCATGGGCAGACTGGGAGCCTGGGCTTGGATGCAGGGGAGCCTGGTTATGTGCAAGAACAGCAGTGATTCTTCAGGATGTCAGCATCAGTGTTGAAACCTCTGCAGTGATAACGCACTCAGATACGCCTTGCTCCTTTGCTGGCACTTGCTCTTGAAATAGCTTTATTGGAGCTGTTAATGAAGATTTCTCACAAGACACTATATGTATTTCCAGAAAATATTGAAATACTAATTTCTTTTTTAATGACTTAAAAGCTGATCGGTGTCAGAACAGCTCTTCACTGGAGCAACTTTGCCAGGGTAAAACCAAGTGTATTCAGTGATGGAACAGGACTATAGTTAGGAAAATGTATAGCTCTCTCTCTATGTAGTGCATCCAGGCCTAAGTCCTCTTCAGAGCTTCCTCCCCAAGATAAAAGCTCAAGAAAGAAGAAATATGTGAATGAAGATGTTCTGTGCAACTGTAACACATTCTGTTTATGCGCATAAGTTACAACTGCAACTGTGCTTACACTTCTGCTCAGATTACTACATTTTGGGTATATTGAAAGCAACTGCAGAGGCTTTAAAATGAGAACTGCTTGGAAGCTGAGTCCAAACAGCACAGAATACATCTGACCTGCAACGCCCTCCAGAAATGCCACTGAATCAGTCTACAGCAGGGTTGATTAAACACCAATATAACCCCAGGAAATTGCCCACCAATGTGGGATACACAGTGCACTGAACGCACCCAGTGCTGCTCCTCTAAAAGAAGTCATCATCATCCCAAGCACGCAAGGGCAGTAATTCTCCAGACTGCTTGTGGACCAGAAAAGAAAGCAACACAAAGTGAGGAAAGCTGTGAGCACTGAAAACTCAGCACAGGTTTACTATTTCTGTCCCTGCTTTTATACATATGAATGACTAGGGGGTAAGCGGCACTTACCGTGCTCGTCCAGCAAGATGTTGTCAGGCTTGATGTCCCTAAGAGAGAAGGAAACAGCCATTCAGCTGGGGATGTGGCGTGAAGCAACGCTGCGGGAGATTTCTGAGTAACCAAGCTGTAGGCTGTAGAGGGAATTACACCTCAGAAAAATCTTTTGTTGGAGTTCTTCAGCTCTGATGTTTCTGCAGGGTTTGATTTCAGCACAGGAGAACAGCTTCTCAAGCAGCAAAAGCAGAAATAGAGGTAGAGATGTGACTGCCAGGGCCAGCAGCACCCGGATACTCCAGCCACAGTGTCAAAAGCTGCTTTTTACCTTTTTAGTTACTTCATGCTCTGTCTCAGTATAATACTCTATGGAAGTTGTTTGCCGTTTACCCAGTAAAAATCACATGTTGGAGTGAAGCAGACAAATGGCGTCCATTGTTGCTCTTATTCTTTTGGCATCACTGGAGCCATTCAGCTGCAGGTGGAACATCAGAGTGGCACAACAAGGAAAGTGTTTGTGTGCCTTAATGGCACACAATGGAGTTTCTGCAATGAGGGACAAAAGGTGCAAAAGCAGGAAGGCTCTCTAAAAAAAGTGTGCTTTGTATTACAGGAATAAAAATTACAAAATCAGAATTGCATTCATTTAAATGCTTGCCAAATTTCTACCTTTGGCTTTTAATGTGTAGACCCTACAGAAAGTAGAACAGATGTTCTGATGCTCTGATTAGGATTTTATTGATTAATGCTTTCATTTTCTTCAGAAGGATAAAAGTCACCCATGCTGCTGCTTATAAACTTCTTTCCTCCAGGCTACTGAGAAATTGACACAGCAGGGAAATTCATCACCACTGCATCTGATGCATCTCAGTTACCAGCTGTGGGCACACTAACAAATACCTCACCCTTGGGGTAACAGCAGGGAGCGTGAGGGGCATCAAAGGTTGGAGAAGAAAAATGCAAAGTGAGGAGAAAAAGGATGAACAAAATACGGCTTGTGCTCTACAGCACAAAGTGACAATGATTGTAATAACAAATTGTGAAAACAGCCCCATCCCGTAAGGGAGAAATGGAAGGAATAACCTTAACAGGAACCCGTTCCTCTGTGGAAGTGCTGCAGAGAACCCCGCTTCCAGTCCATGAGAATGTGGCCTGCTTTCTCTGTCTGCTACTAAGAGAACAGTGAATGGAAATGAGTAAATGTCATTTATTTTGATTAGAGGGAGCTGCGGATGCCTGGCTGAGCTCATCCCTGCCGTGAGCTCTGGAAACAAACAGGTTCCTGCAGGCTTTGTTCCTGAACAAAAGAGCAACAAACCCCTGTAGCAAAGCTGTAATAAAAGGCGTTCCATTGAAGGGAGATGTACACCTGATACACCTCCTGAGTGCGCCTGAATGGCTTTACAAGGTATTAGCTGCTCTTAATGACCTAATTACACCAGCACCCATTGCCTGCTCTCGCACTGAGCCAGCACAGCTCTGGGCACTGTGGGAGGTGCGGAGTGGGGGCAGCACATCGATGCCCTGGGTGTGCAGATGCTGCACAGGGCACGGTGAGGAGGGAGCAGCTTTCAGCCTTTACAACTGCAAAAGGTACACTTTTACCTCACCTGGCCATCTGTGATCCAGGAGAGAACATATATCTGATTACCACATAGCAGCTTTCAGTCCTCTGCAGTCCTGCTCCTCCTGGGCTGAGCACAGACCTTTCCTAGCCTGAAAAGGTTAACAACCATTTCCTACCTTTCTGTGTACAGAGAGAAATAACTGAAGCCATCGCTCTGCTGTCTGCACACAGCACTGTTCAGACAATGTGAACAGTTGTTTGCATCTCTCCTGCCACTCCCAGCCATTCCCAGCTGTGGATGTTGCACTCCTCAGCTGAGTCCCTTTACCTGATCCTGTCCCGCTGAGATACAGCGTTTATTAAATCTCTTGCAAATTTTGCAGCTCGCTGTACATTTCATGGAACCATTGTACTGTGATACTGTACTGCATACAGCTGCTTGAAATACGCCTTGTGGATCAGACCCAGCCTTTGGGGACCTGTCCTTGGACACATGTGCACTCCACCTCCACAATCCAACCTGTGTTTGCAGAGAACCCTCTGGGAAATCACAGCAGCTTTGCCCCCAGGCTCTTCCCTGCGTATCTGCAACTGGAGTGGGTGCTGGGGCACTGCACAGCTATGCTGGCATCCCTATGCCCAGAACAGGGACCATCAATTCCCAGTTACCTCTCACCTTTACCAGGTGCAGTTTGTTTCCTGAACAGGCTTTTCCTTAGATCATAAATTGTGCAGCTCTTCCTGCCCACAAGCCCTGGAAATGCCACTGATTGCAACACATTTCTGGTAGAGAAGATTTCCTCCTTGTGCTTCTCTTGTACCCATGTCTGACACGATTTATTTAGACCAAGCCTGCAGCACAAAGATTTGCTCCTGGCTGCCCAGGACAAAGGCAGCTCAGTGTGCGCTTCCCAATGTTTAATTCATGCTCATCCATTATTAGGTGACTCAGGCAGGTGTGGGGTGGAGGCACAGCTCAGTGCCCGCTGTCTCCCCGCTGCACACAGTGCTGGAGCAGAGCAGGGTGCCGGCTGCTTGCCAAGGTCAGGGTACTGTGGGGCAGAAATCTATGCAGGTATTCATACAAACAAAGAAGGACTCATGAAAACAATCCAAGAGGGATGAAAAATAAGACTCTGAGAAACTGGCAGCTGTATGTAAGGAAGCCTGTCTCATAAGAAAGAAGAGCAAAATCTTTTTGGTCCGCTGGGGTTCTCTGCAAATGAGGAGGGCCCACCGGAGCATGGAGGCAACCTTTCTGCTTTCACACATCAGGAATGGCAGGTGTATGCTCCTGGACAGAAGCAAGTGCTCATCAGCCTTGAATAGTGCATTCCTTCTTTTGCTAACCACCAGGATCATGTCAACCCTAAATTTGTGCCATGCTTTATTTTTTACACCTCACAAGAATGCTGTCTCTGGGATTATAAATGTGATAATTTTCTGCCCTTGCCCTGTTTTTTAACCCATTCTAACTCCATCCCTGCTGATGCCCTAGTTAGCCAACGCTGAGCCAAAAGTCTTGGACCTCTGAGGTCTACATCACTTAATAAATCAGGAATGGGAAATGTCACACGAGAGAAATGCTTTTCTCTGAAAAATGTACACCGTTTTACACAAAAGCCAATGTACGTGGGGTAGTTTGTTTAGCTCTGAAGGTTCTGCTTGTCCTGTCAAATCATGGAGGAAAAATCAGCCCCTTCTGCAGCCCACGAATTCCATCCACCTATGGAGGACCCAGCTGACCTGTGGATGATGTGTCTGCTCTGGAGGTAGTCGAGGGCCAACACCAGCTCACAGATGAACAGTTTCACAGTGCCTTCCTGGAATCGCACGTTCTGTTGGAGGTGGTACCGCAGGTCCCCTCCGAGCAGCAAGTCTACCACCATGAACATGTCCTCTTCGTCTTGGAATGAGTACCTGCCACGGCATAAACATGCTCAGAGGTTTCTCTAGCTAACAACAGACTTACCAGAGAGCAAAGGAGAAATGCCTTACCAGAGATTAACCAGGAAGGGGTGTTCCAGGCCTTGCATGATCTGCAACTCCTTAAAGACATTCCTCACTTCATTACGCTCCACACACTTCTGCTTGTTCATGTATTTCATGGCATACATTTTCTTGGTGTCATTCTTTTGTACAACACAGACCTAAACGAGTAAATGAGTGATCCATCAGAGATGATTTGCCAACAAATCAACACAGATGAAGCATGGCCTCTGGGTGTCTTTCACAGAGCCCCTCAGCCAAGTCCAGCTCCATGTGCTGCTCTGCAGCTCAGACATTGCCACTGAGTACCTCAGCGAACACCTCATCCCATGTTCTCCCAAAGGACAGTTTTTGCTGTGGGAGGATGAGGGGAAGGAACGTATCAGTGAAAAACTGAGTCTGTGAGTGTGCAAAACCAAATATTTAGGGTTCTTCCTCCTTTCTCTCTCCAGATTTCTTTCCATGACAGTTTGAGGATGAATTTGCAAAGTTTTGATCAACCTTTTTTGTTTTTCCACCCACAAGTCTTTCTCTCACTCTGTACATGAGGCACATCTCAGTTATGGGATCTGTGTGCCCTCATGAAAAGGGAAATGACCTTTGAAATTTCTGCTAACATCTAAAACCATGAAATTTCATAACAATAAAAATAAAACTGATGTGACTGTAATGTGATGCTTAATAACAAACACTGTTCCACAGACAGATGTTCCCTTAAAAAGATGCCGCCAAGGCTTTTATGTGGGCGTAGCCCTTTGCTAAATACGTATCATGATATTCAGTGTTTTGCTGCAGAAACTTGGGAGATGTTTATCCAGAAACACAGACAATTCAGGCCGTTTGATTTATCACTGTTTAACCTCCTGTAATATCGTTTGTGGTTATGGAGTGGATGAAGAATTGGCTCTGATTCTTTCTTGACCAGCTTGATGAGCTGATGCTCAGTAGATCTCACTGACAGTGCAGCATTTTTTCTTCTCTTTGCTCTCATTAAAGCCTCTCTAATTTCCCCCTCTCTCCGTTGTTTCCAGCTTTCCCAATGCTGATTTACTCACACACTACTTACTTTTCCAAAGCTGCCCTTCCCAATCGCTCGCAGTATCTCAAAATGGTCGAAGGTGACTGCAAGAAACAGCAAACATTCAAATGCAAAATGGCTGAGCAGCAGTTGGATGAAGTTATTTCTAATTCTTCACAAGAGAAAAAAACCTGAAGTGTTCTCCAGCATCTTCCTGTTGTTTTTGAAGACACGGGGTTGTTTAAAATTTGGGGTTTAGCAGATTTTTCTTTCCAGCCCATCTGCCCATTCAAAGGACAGCACCTGCACAGGTCACTGTGTCGCTCCAGAGAGCATTTATTCCTCAGCCGTAGGAGCTGATACGGCACAAAGCGCCTTGAACCAGGCAGGACTCAGCAGAGGGAGCAGACAACGAAAATCAGATTAGTTTCCATCTCACAGCCTGGACACAGCACCCCGAGGAAGGTGGTCAGGAAAGAGAGAAGTGTCAGCCACCTGAGTTAGCACAAGAAGTATTCATGAAAGAAGATGCCAGTATTCGACATTGGATGTGCCAGGAATGAGATCTCCAGGAAGGTCTCACACCACTGATGTTTTTTCTCCCTCGTGTCTCTATCAGCTGTGCCAGTAAACTTCAGTACAGAGGAATCCTGATCAGATCTGCCCTAACTGCCCTTCCCCACATGTGTAGCACTCAGCATTTCGTTGGGCCTGATAAACATCACACATTTTCTATGAAGCATTGGAACAAACTGAGAATTTCACTCGGGAAGAATTTCGACTGTTCATTTTTAACAATTCAAGATTGATCAGTATTTGATTGGCATTCTTCTCTGTGTAAGAACAGTTTATAAGTCATCTAAGTTCTCATCTTTTGTTTGTATTTTATTTGTATTATCTATGCACTTTGTTACTGTACTCATGGGAAAGCCCATATGGAATTAATGAGCTCAGTCATGCAGCAGGAACTGTATTTATGGAATGATCCTTAAGTGCCACCTCTACCATTTGGCAGCAGCAAAACCAGCCTGCGTGGCTGCTCTCAGTGCCCCTCCTGCTGGGGCTGTCGGCCCAGCTCTGCAGCAGTTCTCCCACTGAACCTAAAGCTCTGAAGGACACACATTGCCGGGCTCTTCTGCTACTCCTCGTCCCACTCCTTGAGCTGTGCTCCAAACAAACCTTCCTTCCTGCAGAACAGCAGTTTCTTCCCTGCTCTCAGACTGCCTGGCAGCGTCCCCGGGCGTCTCA